CCCCCCACTCCTTTCCTCCCCATCCCTCCAGCCTCCTTGAGGAGGAAAACAATACAAACCTCCTTTCCTCCCCATCCCTCCAGCCTCCTTGAGGAGGAAAACAATACAAACAGAATACAGTAAGCCACAGGCCTGGACACCGAACAGCAGTCTCTGGCTGCGTGGTGCTGTGCTGGGCTCAAAGCCCGGCATGGCCAGGAACTCGGTGTTATCCCGCTCGCAAACTGCCCGGAGTCCCAGCAAGGTCCCAGCCGCGTTTAGACCTCAGGGTGTGTGGCCTCCTCCAGTAACTGCTGCACAAAAGACACTTAGCAGTTGCCTGTCTGTCTCGCTCCCATCTTCCTGGGATCAGGAGTCATCCTTCATTAGCCCCCAGTCCCCACGGGACGGACACAGAAAACCTCTGGATTCCTCGTTACCGGAGGCATTTTGCCCGGGCCGAGCTATAGAAAATGCCCGCACCACAGCCCAGTGGGACAGGCCATGGTTCTAACATCCAAATAATCATTTCACAAATTATCATCATTATCAATCAATCACCCTGTTTGGACAATGCGAGGCTGGGCTATCAGATGACTTTTATGACCTGTAGCATTTTGTATGTAATAATAATAACCGGGAGAGATTTATGGACCCATCACCGGCCCCTCTTCCAGCGGAATGACTTTATTAGCTCGATTTATTTTTGACCCTCCTCTAAGCCTCTGCACTCCCGCCCCTCGCCCTGGGGGCTGGCTGGGGTGGACGCATTTTTCCGAAGCTTCTGAAGGGTTTTTTTCAGGTCCTCAGGCCTAGCCGTCCCATGCGAATTCACGATGTATTTATTTTTGGGAGGAGGGGGATAAAGAAGCGGAGGGGAAGAGAAAATAAAAATAAGAGAAAAGGTCACTTCCTTTTGTTTGTGTTTTCCCGTTCTGTATTAACACGTCTTTCCTTTTCAAGAGGGGGAAGGAAAACACGATAAAGTGGACAAAGGGAAAGGCTGCCGGGCCATGTTTCCCCTTTCATATCGCCAGAGATTGAATCAAAATTCTTTCAGCTGATAGCATCTCCCGGGTGGACTACACTCTTGTTAACGGATAAATTCAAGCCCTCCAGAAAGTCAAAGAATAAATTTAAGCCTTTTGCCAAATGTCTATCCTATTGGATTTTGATAAGATGGCCATTGAGCCTTAATAATGTCTTCCATCCATTTTCAGCGAGCCCTTAACACGGCTCTTGATTCGTCCCCAAAGCCTCTTCGCCCGGCCTTTTTATTACCGGCTCTGGCGGGCTCTCCAGGGAGCCGCGCGCCCCGAGTGATGGATGGACAACTCGCTAGATTATCTCCCGCAGATGTTTGCTCTCCAGGAGCCCCCGGGCTTTCCCTCTAAGTAAACAGAGACTAAATAGAGAGTCCGCTGGAGGGAACGGTCCCAGAGGTCCCCGCACCGCGGCCAGGAAAGGCGCGACGCAGCCCGACCCACAGTCAATGTGACTTTTGGGAAGCGCCGGTGACGCGCGCCCAGGGCGCACCAGGGCGGGCGCGGGGACGGGGCCAAAGCTCTGGGCTGCGCGGGCGCACGGGCTGCGGAGTGAACGAAGGCGCAGAGGCTGGGGTGGGAGACAGAGGGGACACGGGAGGCCAGGGCGAGGCTGAAGGGGCACAGGAGGGATGAAGGAGGACCCTCCCCTGCGGTTGCTGGTGGCTCTGCCCTCCTGGGGGCGGGGGCGGGGCTGACGGGAGGCACCTCTGTAGCTCCCACAGGAGCCCCGCCCCGCGCCACAGTCCTGGGTTCGAATCCCAGGCCTCCATACATCCCCCGACCCGGCCACCCTCGCCTGTACATTCTGAGTAGAGTCATCCTGCATCCAGCCCCTTCGGAAACCTCGCTCTCTGATACTTAAAATTCCTAACCGTGGCTTCCTCACAAAATATCACCTTTTCTGTAGCTCATGTGCCAAGCTGCTGATTGAATTAATTAACTTCGTCACATTTCACTGAGGCAGATAAAGAACAGGAAGTTTAATCCTCTCAGCGGTGGATGAACTGAAGTCAGAGACAGGAGTTGCGAACCCACAGGTCACACAGCGCCACCCCCCACCACCGTGATGTTCCCCTATGAGATTTTTAATGCTCCCAAGTGCGCCTTTGGGTGACGCAAACAACAAAACCTTGAAACCAGAGTCCTCGTCCTATAAGTAAGGATTGCACTGAATTCATCCTGAAAACAGCACCACGGTGTGCACAGTTACCGTAGCAATCCACACATTGCACCTATACCGATAGCTCTAAGTGGCGCCTCTGTTTGCAGGGTGGGGCCTCTGTCTGGACTGATGCCTCTCCAGGACTGTCTGTCCTGGTCTTCCTGGCCCCCGAGTCTGAAACCTTTTTTGAATTTTAGCTCACATCTCTCAGTCTCTCAGCCCCAACTCCCCCGGGCCCCCAAGAGTGCCTGGAAATGTAACTGAACGGGTCCAGTCAGAGCCCTGGGGTTAGGGATCTGATTCTCCCACCAGCGTGGCCTTGGCAAACACTCGAATCTCCCAGACCTGACGGTGTTTAGTGTAGAGGCTGAAAAAACTGTGAGTTGACGGCTCAGGCAGTGCTGTGTGGCAGCCTCCCCCTCTGGTGGAGCTGCGCCTAAGGACTTGGGTGAGGACGCCTCCTCCAGGCAGCCCCCAGCCCCTCGGACTGGGCTTGCAGGGCAGCGGCAGGGAGGAGCCCTGGGCTGGGGTCAGGGGGCCTGCTTAGACAGGACCGCCCACCAACGCCCTTGATGCTGGCTCTCGTACCCTGCACTGAGCTCCCTGCAGCTGCAGTGGTGTTGTGGGGGGTCTCGTGCATCGGGTCTGCTCTGATTCTGTGGGATGGCGGAAGCTGGAACTCCTCAGCCCAACCCAAGGCTCTCAACCAGCTTTCCAAGGGCCTGCGTCAGAGGGATGCCTGCTGCCCTGGGCACTTAGAAGTCGGCCCCTGGCTGGACAGCACTTCATACCCACCCCGGGAGCCGCTCTCAAGAATGACCTTGGGCCACACTGGGCAAGACCTGATGGCCCCATATATGAGACAAAAAGGCAAACCCCACTGTGGCCCAGAGACACAGAAGGTGGTGCCCACGTCACCCTCCTTCTGTCCTATTTCACTCTGGTTCAGAAGCAGCCAGCACTTGCCTCTTCCGTGCCCTTTAAATCTAGACTTGACCTTTTAACCTTCTGCCTTGACCCCTGTTCCTAGACCAAGCAATCCCTCCCAGCATAAGCTGATCCCCTTCTAACCTCCTGCCAGGCCACCTCCACGACGCATTTAGGAGAGGCGCGGCCAAGGAGAGCGTCTTGAAAACGTCAGAGGGTCCAGGGACGCATGGGGTGGAAAACTCAACACTTTCAGGCTCACTCGAGAGCTTGAGGGATTCGCACTAACTGCAGGTCACTTTTCGCGTGAAGTGAAAATACTGCAGTTCGCGGAAATCAGCAGCGCTGCTTCCTGTTTCCTGCTCCTCTACGTCCTTTAAGAAAATGTGAAATCATTTAAAGAGGCAGGAAAGAAGAAAGAGGGAAAGTGGAAAAGACCAGCCCTGGAATTCGCTCCATGGCACAGTCAGACATGGGTGCAGGAAGACCTCAGGCGTCCTGTGGACGGCGGGGACTGAGAACTAACACCTTGTCCTCAGACAGAAGGACCCCAGCAGGCCAGACACAGCCACACGAGTGATGGGGAGGGACATGGGAACCAGTTCGCCCGGTTTCCAGAGGCCCTTCAGTGGGTCACTGCGGGCTCAGAAGAAGTCTCCATTGCCATGGTTTCTCTAAAATCAATGTCTCTGGGGTTGAACCTGGAGAGAAGGGTCAGGTCCCCTGTGCTTAGCTCTGCCCAGTTGGTGGGTCCATATCGATGACTTAAATACTCAGCTCAGGTCGTGGGGTCAGGCCTTCCTAACCACAAGGCCGCCAGTACCCCTCAAGCCCATATTCTCCATCACGGAAACCAGTTGTAATTCTTACAGAATTGTAACAGCACTCGGTAGGCACTGACTCAGCGCTGGCTCCTCTGTGCCAGCAGCCCCCACGGTGCCCCCCATCCCCCGCGATGCTGTCTGGGTGGAGATGTGTAAATGTGACTCTCTAAATTTTATCTTGCTTTAAAGCAAAGATGCCAAGCGAGAGACTGTTACTTTAATTTTACTAGAAAACCCAAGCAAATAGGAGATCGGCCACCATATGTGAGCGTGCCTGTGTCTGTGGACGTCTGTGTGTGCGTGCAGACAATGCATAGCCCCTGGAAGCCAAGTTCTGGCTGCTGAATGGGTTCTAGGTTTTGGAGCTGCTTTCCAGGCCGTTCCTCCTCCTGGCCGTCTAGACTGCAGTGTGCACACCCAGCGACACGTGTGACTGTGTGTGTCTCCCCAGGGCCTGTGTGTTTCTCTGCATATCGTTCTCCCTCTGAATCTGTTAGAGCTAATGTTTGTCCACCAGCCGTTACCCACCAGCAGTCAGCAAAGCTGTGGATAATGCCACGTGGACCCTTTTTCTTTCGCCTCGTGGTTTGCTTATTTAAAGCGATGCTTCTTTGGAAGCTACGAGTGCAGCAAAAGGCTTTGTTGAATCTGCAGCCAATTTTTCCCCGTATTCTTTTCATGAGAGTATCCAGCGAAGACAGTTAAATAAACACAACCTGCGTTTATTTAATTTTCCTGTCTGCGTGGCCTGAAGCTTTCCCACAGGTACGGGGCTCTCCTCTGCTCTTGGGAGATCGGAGAGTGGCGGATGGCCCTGTACCTGTGACCCTACGGCGACATTATCCCCACCTCCCCACACAATAAGAAGAAGCATCCCTGCTAATGACAGCAAAGCCACCGTCCTGTGCACACATCAGTCCACGGATAACACATTGCTCAGGGCCCGCCAGCAACATTCCGACTGCACGCTTGTTAACTCAGGGACAGCTGGGATGGCGGTCGCCCCGCCAGGAGCTCCGAGAACTCTGGGGAGCCGAGACGGCGCGGGGCGAGCTCTCCTACCTTTTTGATGCAGCCTTCCTGGGGTGACACTTCCGCATCCGTCAGTATTTGCTGCAAAACAATTTTGAGAGGGGTTGTTAGTTTCTGAAAAAACGTCGTTCTCAAGCTACACTGGGTTCTAAATGGTGGGGACAGATCCACTGTCCCCAAAAGTCACAGGGTGGGACCCAGCGGCTTCTCCACAGCAGGAAATGAAGACTCCATTGATCGCAGGTACCCCTTCTTCCAGCAGAGACTCCCCAATCACCGAGGACCCCAAACAGCCCCCAGAGACTTCACCTCCCTGGAGACACCACACTCCAGGGATGGAGACACAGTGTGTCGCTCACTCTGGCCCTTTAGTGGTTGGGTGGGGACCCAGGTCAAGGCATCTCAAGGTGAGCCATTCGTATTATTTATGAGAAGCATCTGGGCAGAGCGCACGGACACCCTGGATGCCGAACAGACTCTATTTTTATTTCCTCCGAGTTCCATGGACAAATCACACCGTGTGTATTTAGACATAACTTGGCCTATGTTGTGCTTGGTCCTGGACGGGTGAGGGACAGCAAGGTGCGGTCCCTGCCCTCGGGGGGCTTACAGTCCAGCTCGGGAGGTGGAGGTTGGGGGGAGCTGAACGCTGCCCAGTGGTACCAGGAGACAGAGGCGGGCGGCCAGAGCGAGGGGCAGAGGTTGGCCAGCGCCCCGCAGAAGGACGGCTTGGTGGGTGCTGGAGAGAGAGGGAGCTCATGCCATTTCTCTGCTTCCTCCTTTTTGTCGAATCAGAGGTGTAAGCGTTTTAACTGGCTCTTCACTCCCATCCATATCCCTGGGAGGGGGATGTCCCCTGTGGCTTTTGGAGGAAACTTTTCAAAGGAAATCAAGCTAAGGCAGAAAAGCCGCTGTGCCTAGTGTCATGCAGGGGCCCAGGATGGCCACTGAGGACCCCCCAGCAGTTCGCTGTGGGCCTCACAGGAGCTCCCGCCCCCTCACCCACGTGTGACAGAGGCCAAGACAGGGAGGCTGGAGTGGGCCAGCAGTCAGCTTGTTCTTCCTCCAGGGTTGCTCTGGCTGCAACGTTCTTTGGCTCTGGAGAGCATTTTGCCAGGTGTCTCCTCTTAAAAGCCACCAGGCTGCACTCCAGAGAGGCGGCGTCTCAGTGACCCGTCCCAGAGTGCTGTCTGTGCTAAGCAAACTGACAAGCGAGCTCTAGAAATTGGATTTTTCCCTTCTGGACCCAAAGTGGCCGTGCACGGATGAGTATACGGAAACCGCAACATTGTTTCCATAAGAATAGAACCAAGATTGAAACTGATACTTGAAAAATAAAAGGAGAAATGATGCTCAAGCCAAAGGTTTTCCTTCCCCTCCCCTCAATATTACATGATGACTTTATACATCATAAGGACGGAGCACAGCGTGCCTGCCAAGGCGCAATTGACAAGCTGGCGTTCCCGGCCACAGCGCGGCCCAGCCTGATCGCCTTCCGGGTCACCCTGCGCTAATGTGAATGGCAGTGACGGCTGCTAGATTCAGGCACCTACATGGGCTGCGTTTGGAAGAGGAGAAAGCCTTAGGAGGGGTGTGACCTGCCCGCGGGGCCGAGGCTGGAGGCAGAGCTTGAGACGTATTGATGACTTGAATACTCAGCTCGGGTCGTGGGGTCAGGCCTTCCTAACCACAGGGTCGCCAGTACCCCTCAAGCCCATATTCTGCATCATGGAATCCAGTTGTAATTCTGACGGAATTGTAACAGCACTCGGTAGGCATTGACTCAGCGCTGGCTCCTCTGTGCCAGCAGCCCCCAGAGGCAGAGCTCAAGGCAGTGCTCAGGTGGAATCTGTCCTTGCTCTGGATGCTGGAGGACCGTGTGGCCGTCCCAGGTCTGGTGAAAGGGACGCCCATCCCACTGGTGGCCCTGGAGCTCTTGAGAGTAGAAGGACAGATCCCGCCATTGTGAGCCGCCCCGAGCAGAGAAGCTGTGGATCTCGTTGCCAGTTAAAGGCTGGGCTGAAACCAGAACCAGGGCCTCCGCAGTCCTGCCTGCTTCATGAGGCGCATCGAGGAGTGAGATGCTGGTTGTGTCTCTCTGGCATTTGCAGCCAAGTCACAGGCACCTGCGCAGACACCACCAGCGAGAGGGCCCTGCCCTCCCCACCCTGCCCTGCCAGTGCCTGCTCACAAACCCACACACCCGCCCAGAGCCCACAGGGGCCTGGCGCTGGTCTAGGAGCATTTGGTGGCCTCTGGTTGGGCATTTTCCTGGAGGCTGCCTCCTGTTCCCAGTGGGAAAGTGCATGCCACAGCCCATTCAAGCCATTCCCAACGCAAGTGACACCCCCACCATCATCCCCCGGCCAGGTCAGTCCAGGAGCCCTTGTTAACACTGCATCCTCACATTCAGAGGGGGCTAGAGCCCTCCATCCACCCACGGATGCCACCCTGGGCCTGCTGTGGCCTCAGATGCAAAGCTTTCAGGTGGGGGCTGCCCTCACCCTCCCTCTGTCCACGCTGCTCTCTGTTGGGTGTGCTCCGTTCCTGCTGTGGCCAGCTGCATTTTCACTTGCACTTTTGGTGGCCTGATCTTCCTGCCTCCCTGCCCTCCGAGTGGCCGGGTGGGATGGAACGCCCCCATAAACCCACCTGTCACGCCATGCGGAGGCCCTTTTTGCCTTTCTGGCAGAGTCTGACAGGGTCTGTGCGTGGGCTTGGCCAGCACTCCTGCTCCCCGGAGCTTGTCATCAGGTGGGGACGCAGGGACGGACCTCCAACACTGGCCCCAATAGTTGAAGGTGTTGCATGCGACGCACCGACCAGGAGGGCCCGGTCATACGGGGTGGCATCAGGAGGTGGGACCTGGCCAGCCTGGGGTGGTGGTGGGGGCAGGTGCTACAGCTGCTGGGCTCCCGGCTGTCTCTCTGGATCCTCTGAGCGCAAGGCCTGGGCCCCCTTCGGGCGGAGGGTGTGGGCTGCTGAGGACTGTGGTCACAGCGGAGCCCAGTGTGGAGCCACGGAAGAGCCGCACAGACGTTGAGCCCTCCCCAGCTGCCCTGCACCCCCTGAAGAGGAAGCTGGCGCCCGATGGCAACAGAGAAAGAAGCGGCCTCCTGCAGGAGGGGCACTGGGGCCTGAGCCGCGTTCCGGAACTGCCTGTCCCATCTCACAGCCCACCTTTGCAGGTATGAAGACCATTCACTCTGCCTCTTCACTCGCTGCTGAGCTCAGGTGGAAAAACGGCCGGACGCGCTCCCCGGCTTCCTCAGCCCCGGCCCCCTCCCTTGCCCGAGCCGCCGTTCTGCTGAAAACCCTCTTTATTTTGCTAGCTGGGCCCTCAGCACACGCACCGCTGGCCCCTGGATTGCTGGCAATGGCCACCGCGCTCTCCACCTCTCCGCACCCCGGCAGAAGTATTAGGTGTGTTTGATTAAGCGTTTTAGCCAAAAAAGCGAGGTCTGACCCCTGGCATTTAGCTTCTCTCGCGGGTGCCAGTGCCAGGATTTAGCTAAGTGGGGTTGGTCAGAACCTCTTTTTTGACTCTTAAAATAAATACCCTCTGTTCTCCAAAAAGCCAGCAAAGAGGCCACGTACGCAGAGGCGCTTACGGCTCCGGAGTTCTGGCGCGGCCCCAGGGGGGCTCAGCTTGCTGTTCGGTGTCACAAATGGATCCCAGAAGGTTTCTCTCCCGTCCAAAGTATCTGTTATTAAAGTATCTGAGAACCTAACAAAGGAGGAAGCCCAGAGTGAGCCCCGGCCACGGAGCTGCTTCCAAACCGGCGGGAGGTGAACGGAGCCTAGCGCGGCGGAGGCTGAGGCCCATGAGGGCCCCCAGCACTCCAGTTAATGCACCCCTTGCTCTTGGCATTGAGAGCAAACCTCCTCTCTCTAACCGACTTCTCTTTTCTTTTTTCTTCTTTTTTTTTTTTTTGAAACAGGGTGTCTCGCCCAGGCTGGAGTGCAGGGGTGCAATCATGGCTCACTGAAGCCTCAGCCTCCTGAGCTCAAGCGATCCTCTCAACTCAGCCTCCTGAGCAGCTGGGACAACAGGCACACCACCACCCTGGCTAATTTGTTTTATTTTTTGTAGAGATGGGGTCTCACTCTGTTGCCCAGGCTGGGACTCCTGGACTCCAGCAATCCTCCCAAAGTTCTGGGATTATAGATGTGAGCCACCATGCCCATTCGGCTCTAAACCAACCAACCTACCTTCCTTCCTTCCTTTTCTTTCTTTCTTCTTTCCTTTCTTCTCTCTCTCTCTCCCCACCCCATACCCGCAGGCTAGAATGCAGTGGCTCCATCAGTTCACTGCAACCTTGACCTCCTGGGCTCAGGTGATCTTCCCACCTCTGCCTCCCAAGTAGCTGGGATTAGAGGCATGCTCCACCATGTCTGGCTAATTTTTTGTATTCTTTGTAGAGACAGGGTCTCACTGTGTTGCCCAGGCTGATTTCTGACTCCTGGACTCAAGCAATTCTCCTGCCTCGGCCTCCCAAAGTGCTGGGACGACAGGCGTGAGCCACTGTGCCTGGTTCTAACCTACTTTTCTTTCTTGCCCATTTCTGAAGTAGCTTCATTGGACCCAAAGATGTGGGTCTGAGTCTAGAACCTACTAAAAGCTGATTCCAAGGCCTCCTCTCCTTGAAGAAGCCCGTATGGGTGGAGTCGGGGGGTCAGGGTTGTCTGTGCAGGGCACCCAAGGGTGTTCAAATGGCAGGGCTGATGGAGCCCTCCACAACCCCCACATCCCATCTAGGCTGCAAACCTCGCTCTGCTCACTGCTGGGAGGTTGTGGGGTCGAGGGGCTCAGGGTTCTGCAGGAGACACAACCTGAGCAGAGGTCTTGGTGGTCAGCAGCTTCAGCTTCCCTGCAGCCTACACGTTCAGGAGGGTTTTACAGCCAACTAAACAGTGCCCCTGGCAGGGCTGGAAGCTGATGACCAGGCCACACTGAGCCTCCACATCTCAGGATCATCTCTAACTCTTGGAGAGCCACCCACACATCCTCCTTTTCTGAGAGATGGAGTTTTTAAAGAACAAATCTCATTCTTCATTTTCTTTTCCAAATGGAAGCCCTG